GGTCTGCAGCACAAAATACATGCCAAATCTCATATTGTGTCTGTCTTCTGGCTTTTTTTCCGTGCTAGCAGGATTTCCGGGTTGGGCTCCAGACTTTGGCAGATCCTGGTCAGAGAAAGGCGAAACTCTCAAATGTGCCTACTTCAGCCTCTGCCTGTATAGGGTGAGTTTTCTTAGTGGGGTAACAAGGAAAGCTGGGTGAATGCAGACAAAAAGCAGGTGACCAGAGTTTTCTCCTGAGATCACTGACATACAAAAGAGTTAATAACAGATACTGGTTATTTGCATCCTGTCTTGTGGTTTGAGATAACAATGTAAGTGACATAGTGGTGTAGGGAGACCAGCAAAACCTCCACTTGGTACACAGCTATGATCAAAAAGCTTCGTCACTGGCAGACCCAGTTATGGAAGTTGCTTTCCCTGGACTCTCTTGGGTTTCTGTGGAGAGTCGCACTGTTTCTTCAGAGGCTTTTCACAGCTCTAGGAGGTGTCTAGATGAGAGAAGCAAGAACAACAATATACATGGGGAGACACAGAAGAGGTGACACAGTATTAAAATAGTGTGTTGAGAGGGCAAATGAGTGGTTTGTTGTTTCCCTATCCTAGAGTACTCAGGCGGCAGGTGTTAAGTATGATTGGAAGGTGATGAGTGGGAAACAGTCCATTCCTATATGACATGCTGTTTAAACCAAGAAACACAACTGGCATCTGCTATGTCAGTGTGACCAATCCCTTCTGACAGCTGCTGTGTTTCCAGGAGCTGAACAGGGTGCTGAGTGTTGCAAGACAGAATGACAACAGTCATGAGATGCTCTGTTTCAGAGCAGAGTTTCTGGTCTTGGAATGAGGCTGAGACACCAGAGCTGGTGTCAGACTACAGCTCTACAGCTTGTTGGCCCAGTCACAGGTGGCTCTCTGACACAGGCCTGTGCTGCATGCATGGATAAGGCCATTTAATCACCACCTCCTAGGTACACCTGCATGGCTGCCATATCCCTGACACATGGCTTTGGATGGGATGCTGAGGTGATGATAGTAGGGAGGATGAGGGTGGTGTGGGGCTGGTTTGTGGTTGCCACTCACAGCCAGGGCTCTGCTCTGATGCTCTCCTCCTCAATAGGTCAAAATGTACCATTTTGTGTGACTCCTCCAACACAGATGAAGGTGGAAAAGACGTTGATGATGAGGAGTATGAACCACAGTGGGAGGAAGACTATGATGATGATGATGATGACCTTGATGAAGACAACTTTCTGTTTGATGATGAGTCAGATAACCTTGATTGTGACTCCTACTTTGATGATGATGATGCCTATGACTAGAAGTGGGTTGTCACCCAGCCTGCCAGCCTGGACCTCTGCCTTTACTCTATCTTGACCAGGTTGTATTAGTGTCTTTCCTCAAAGGCAGTGAGGAGCTCTCAGGCAGAATGAAGAGACATTTCCTCTGGGGATTACTTGCTCAGTGACTTCCCTTTAATATGCAGAAACATTGCTCTGGACAGGTGGGTGATGTTACTGTGGCCACCTCTCTCAGAAGGACATCTCCTTCCCTTTCTCCCTTGTCTTAATTTCTGCCCGTAGGTATCTAATTGAGTTAGAAAGTCACAGTCCAGCTGCAAAGTGAGAACTGCTCACCACCTGTTAAGGGACTGTTAAGCCTCCTTGGGTGTGCTCTCCCCAAGGACTGCGCACAGGTGCATGTGGCATGTGTCCCAGCATGGCACTGTCTAATCCAGACGGTGACTAGAAATACTGTAAAACAATGCCTCCCATCTGGACCTGGTGGGATTCCTTACAGAGCCACAGATGGATGTGGTTCAGTGCATTCCTCTAGTTTAGGGGGTCAGCATTTTTGCTGTTTGTTGGAGTTGTTGTCTTCTCTACTATGAAACAGGATGGTCTGCTATAAGAGGCACAAGTTTGCAGGACTGTTTTTAAGTGTATAAATGTATGCACGTTCACACATACACATATTTGAGAGAGAGATATGTATCTGCAGAGGTTGTTCAGTTAATACTTCATCTTTGCAAAAAAGAAAACTGAGGAACAAGGATTCGAAAAAGTTCTGTTTAAAAAAGAAACTGTTTTCTTCTAGCACAAGCCTCCTTGTTGTCTGTGGGGAGCATGGGTGTGAAGGGAGAGCAGGACATTCTTGAGTGAGGAGAATGTGACCTGGATACGCTCATCCCAGGAGTTATTTGTGAAATTGGTGTGGGTTTGGGATCCTGACCCATGCCATGCAGTCTAACCAGCAAAGTGGCTTTTCCTTTCTGGGTAGTTCAGGGAACAGTAAGAGGTATGGGGAGAGATGGGAAAGAGGGCAGGGGACCAGACCACACAGAATGATGGGTCTGGTGTTTCTGGCAGCAGGTGCAAGACAGAATGCCTGCATGTTGATGAAGGTGGTAACATCTGGTGCCCAGCAGAAGGCAGATGTGGGACTGCTTTTGGGGCTTGAGGGGTGATTGGGAAGTTTATGGGATTGTTTTTAGAGATACAGGGCTCTTCTCTGAACTTAGGTATCATCTGGGAAGGATGTGGGGTTGTTAGGGGATGCTGGGCAGGGGACAAGTGCCAGGGGCAGACCAGGGAGAGAGGACTGATTTTTTCCATTCCCCACCACCCCCTTGCTCCTCCTAGTCCTGCATGGAGCAGTTCACCAGGAGGCTGAACCCCAGTCTGTCGTGGTGGAAGTCCCAAGCCTGCTTCCCCTGTGTGGCAAATGGGTTCCCTGCCACACAACCAGAGAGTGAGACCTCTCTGGGCTGTCTCCTCAGGGTCCCTAGAGGGAGAAATGTGGTGGGGATGCCCCGATGGCCTCCTTTTCCCCAGTGTGACCAGTCCTTGCAGGAACAGCCTAAATTCACCAGGTTGTTGGGAAACAGCAGAACATCCTAGATGTCTGAGTTCCTTATCTGGAGACTCATGCTTGGAGTTCCTCATCCATTATCTCCTGGATGACTGCTTAAAAGCCAAAAAGTCAGAAGGATTGTGAGGGCCTGCTTTCATGGGCAATATTTGTACTGAAAAATCAAGATCAAGCCCTGGTCTTCTACACTGTGAGAGGTTTCTGTCCTTCCTGAGCTCACCTTAGGACACCTGTGTTACAGTTCGACAGGTGTACTGCCCTAGTCAAACTCCCCACTGACACTGTCCCTGGAGCAGGTTGTGCCGTGCACTTGGTATCAGAAGTGAGAGCCCTTTGGGGCTCACCCCCTGCCACATCTCACTGGGTCAGTGGAAAAAATGATCAGTAATAGGTCACTGGCAACTGGACCATGGCCTGAGCTGCACAAGTGTTGGGCCTCCCATTTGTTCTACACCTCTGATGTATCTTCACAGCCCCAGACTAGAGTCATGCTCAACAGGGTCTTCTTTCTCTGCCAATTCTGCCAAGGCTGTTCTGTTGGCTGTGGTTTCCTTGGATAGTAAGTAGGGACAGTGAGGATCTCATCCATTTATGCACATCACTAATTGGATGATGAGACATTTGGCTATTTACTCATGACACATAAATTACACATTCCTTTTCCAGGCTAGGTAAGGTGGCCTGTCCACCTAGGTAAAGCTGGTTGATTTTGTTGACAGATAAGATTATGCAATGTGGTTACCAAGTTCCCTTTTGTTCCCTCCCTCCTATCTCCATTACTTCCAGTGAGCATCCGCTCCCCTAGATCATGACAGCCCATAAACGTAATTTATTTACAGTCAAATGACTTTGCACATAACTTGCAAAGATATGTGCAATATTTACAGATGTGCTACCTGCCCACTTTCCTTCCTTCTTTTACATTCCTTCCTTCCCTCCTTCTTTCCTTCCCCTCCCCCTTCATTATTTCCCTCCATTCTCACTGCACGTCCTTCCTTCCTTCCTTCTTCCTTTCCTTTTTCTTTCTATCCTTCTTTTATTCCTTCCTTCCTTGATTTCATTCTACTTTCCTTCCTCCTTTCTTTATTGCCCTCTGTGTTGTCCGCCCTCTGTGTACTTACTTAACTTACTTTATTTCTCTTTTTCCTGCCCTCCTTCCTTCTTGACTTTTTGCTTTCCTCTATTCGTCCTCAGCCACTTCCCCGCCTCCTGACTTCTTTCTTCAATTACAATCTTCTTTCTTCTCTGTTGTGATTGAGCTCAGCCAGCAGCTAAACTACACTCAGCCGCTCGCTCACTCCTCCCCCTTGGTGAGGTGGAGAGGAGAAAAGTGTAACAAAAGGCCTGAGGGTCAAGATAAGAACAGGGAGGGATCACCCACCAACCATGGCCCTGCGTAAAACAGGCTGGGCTTGGGGACAAATCTGTTTAATTTATTATCAATTACTTTAGAGAGGATATTGAGGAACAAAGCCAGATCTTAAAGACACCTTCCTCCCACCCCTCCCTTCTTTCCTGCTCTACCTCCTTTCCCCAGCACAGGGGATGGGGAATGGGGATTGCAGGTCAGTTTGTCACATGCTGTTTCTGCCGCTCCTTCCTTAAGGGAGAGGACGCCTTACACTCTTCCCCTGTTCCAGTGAGGGGTCTCTTCCCACACGAGACAGCTCTCCATGAACTTGTCCAATGTGAGTCTTTTCTGCAGGATGCAATCCTTATCCATCAGATTGCTCCAGCTTTTCGCTCAGACTGCAGATGCATGGCTGCTCCACTGTCAATCTCCAGCAGTGTGAGGTGTCCTTTCCCACAGAGGCAGTCCTCTATGAACTCCTTCAGGCACAGGCATCTCAGCTCCAGTGTGGGATTCTCCAAGAGCTGTGGGTGAATCCCTGCTCCACCGCTCATTTCACCATGGGCTGCAGGGGAATCTCGGCTCTGGCACACCTCTTCCCATTCCATCTTCACTGACCTCAGTGTCTGCGTCGTTGTTTTTCTCAGATTTCAGTCCTCTCTTTGCTGCAGCTGCGCTGGGCCTGACCAGCCTGGCGAACCTCAATGGTCCTGCCAGGAATGAACTCCCAGGAGCAAGGCACTTCAGAGTGCTCCAGGCTGTGCTTCTGTGGCCATCTCCAGTTGAGTGGCGGTGGCCCAGTGCGGGCAGCTGTTCCTGAGAGAGTCTGGAGGGGAGCCAGCCCCCCACCTCCCCGCTCCCTTCACTGCAGGTCCTGCATGGCAAGGGTTCCTTTGTCCCTTTCTTAAATATGACATTCACAGAGGTACTGATTGGCTCAGCCTTGGCCAGAGGTGAGTCTGACCTGGCCAGAGACAAGTCCGACCAGTTTTGGAGCAGGGAAGCTTCTTGCAGCTCCTTACAGGGCCTGTCTCCTCTCTGCCTTTCTCTGCTACCGAAAGCCCATCACATAAACCCAGCACATTCTGTCGCTAATTTCCTCAGTACCTCCTTCGTTCCTTGATCCTTCTCACCTGCCAGTCTGCTTTTACTTTCCTTCCTTCCTGTCATTTCATCCATCTTCTTCACCTTGCCCTCACTTTCCTTCTTTCCTTCCTCCTTTCTCCTTTCCTTATTTCCCTCTGTTCTCGATTTACTTCCTTCCTTCATTAATTTTTCATTCCTTCTTCCTTCCACTGTTTCACCTTTGCCTTTCTTCGCCTTTGCCTTTCTTTCTGTGCCCATCTGCTGGAGGACTGGCAGCATACATACAGTTCTTCATCCTGATCAGCCAACGAGAGAAACAGGGTGAGACCATTGGTGGTGCTTGTTTTTGTGTGAGTGAAGCGTTTCTGTCTGTGTTGATCTGCATGGCTGGTCATGTATTATTTATACTCGTGTTTTATGCTTGTCTGTGTGCCTACATGGAATACCTGCTGGTTGGACTTGGGGGCATGGAGCTGCAGCAGCCTTGTCTCTGTTGAGCTATCATATTTGACTTCACCTAACACATAGAAGGTAGAAGCAAGGGCAGACTACTTGTGAGGTTTACAAAGACATTGCTCACATACATAGGAAGGGAGTTACGAAAGCTAAAGCTCACTTTTCACTGGTAAGATTTGCCCTCAGGCCTCCCAGGTGCCCAAGCCTCCTAGCAGAGCCTGCAGGAGTGAAAGAGTATCCACAGCAGTGGAAGATAGAATTAGGGACTGCCTAAGTCCATTAGACATGCACAAGTTGATAGTATCAGATGGGGTGCATCCAAGAGTCCTGAAGGAGCTGGCTGATGCCATGAGGCCACTCTTCATCGTCCTTATCGTGGCAATTAGGGGATGCTCCCAGCAACTCAAAAAAAGCAGACAGTATAGCCATTGTGAAGAAGGA